ATAAAGGAAAAAAGGATAAAGGTAAATCTTTGTAGGAGATTTCATCTAGGCCATGAGGGTGCCTCATAAATTGTCCTTACTCCACAGAAGTTATGTTTCTGGTGACTAGATCTTCCATATTTATCAGAGAAATGTCTTTCCCTGATAGTGCTGGATCAATACTGTCAAATTTTTGTTTTTTGGTTCCTCATTTGTAGTAAATGCAAAGTAATTTCCTTTTAATTGTCAGTGTTCTTTCACTAGGAGCTCTAGGCTCTACACTCTAGGAGCATAGCTTCTAGCATCAATAACAGCTTTGTGTGTTGGGCAAGTTGGTTCCTGTGCCTCAGTTTCACCATTTGTAAAATAGGGATAAAAATACCTACCTCATTGGATTCTTAGGAGGTTCTTTTCTTTTGAGACAGAGTATTGCTCCGTTTGCCCGGGCTAGAGTGCCATGGCGTCAGCCTAGGTCACAGTAACCTCAAACTCCTGGGCTCAAGCGATACTCCTGCCTCAGCCTCCTAAATAGCTGGGACTACAGGCACACACCACCAGGCCGGGCTAAATTTTTTCTATCTTTAGTAAAGATGGGGGTCTCTCGCTTTTGCTCAGGCTGGTCTTGAATTCCTGAGCTCAAGCGATCCTCCCCCTTTGGCCTCCCAGAGTGCTAGGATTACAAGCATGAGCCACTCCCTGAGTTTTTAATGTGTGGGTCCTTTCTCTGATTATGTCAGCAGCCATAAAGTCCAAACCTAGTGGGACCAGGCTGTTGATGGAAATGAGTGATATTGAGTAGGTAATATGGTACTTTGGAAAGTGCATGCTCTCACCAAAGGGAGGAAAAGAGCTGCTACTAAGCTCCAGCCTGTTATTGCCGTGAAGTGACTACAGTCCTAATTTGCTTAATTATCGGGTTTTTCATGAGAAGTCAAAAATCTGTTTTTTTGCTATATTTCTATTTTAAATGTTACCAACTAATTTAAAACATGCATATGTATGCATAAACATTTGTCCGTACACACGTGTGTATGTATAACATACCATGTGTATACAGTAGGCCAAGCAAAAAGTGCCTGCTGGTTGCATCTAGCCATTTTGTGATCTCTTTGTTTTTGCAACTTCTGAATTAAATGATAAATTCCACCAGGAATCATCTCTTTCATGGCTTCCTTTTGTTGTGAGAATTAATCTAGCCTAATTTTATTTTTAAGTTAGAATTTACTTCTAAAGTAATTTGATCATTCAGTCTGTGTTTAAAAAACACATTAGTGGTGATTGTCATTAAATTTTAACCTTCTGTTAGGTTCTGGGCTAGTAAATGATATTGCCTCTACCCCAGAGAAGTTCATTGTTTAGAGGGAGGGGGAGGGGGAGGGTTGGAGGGGGAATTCAGAGGTCGAGTCCCTTGGGAAACAGACTCTGAAATGGAGATAGTCCTGGATAAGTTTTTTTTAGGGAATGTCTTGGGATCACTACCTGTAGGAGAGAGGAGAAGGAAGCAGTAACGGTCTGAGGGAGAAATTGAGTTGTGATGTTGTCTTAATGAAGATGTCAGCCAATCCTATAGGAGTAGGAAGCTGGAATCACCTTTTGGAGTTATCCTGAATTGGGCCAAAGGGGCCTGGTCTTTGGCCATAGATATTGGTGGGCTGTCCTAGAAAGGGGGTGTGACCTTGGGTGAGATAACTCTTTTAAATAGTAGGAATTCTGAAGAGAACTGACAGCTAAGGGCTGTCTTCTGGTAGTACTGTTCAGTAGCTGGTACAACAAATCTTCAGCCTAAAGGAAGATCTGTGTAGTTGATGTTTCACGGTGTCCAGTATGGGGATTCAGGGTCAAGATAGATACATGCAAAGAAATCATAATGCACTATGGAAGCCCAGAGGAGTGACTAATTGCTAGAGGGAGTTAGAGAAGGTTTATAGAAGAGACAATATTTCAGCTGGGTTTTGAAGAATGAATTATGAGGCTGTTTGGTCATTTTTTATTGAGTCAGGGACATTTACACAGAGTAAGGAAAATGAATGATTTGTTTTAAGAGCAATGGGTTAAATATATTAGCTATTTAATTTCTAGCAATTATAATAAAAATCATAAGTTGTTTTCTATAATCTTGATTTGCTTCATGGTAATAATTTTTAAGAAAACACTTATCCCAGTATAAAGTTTAGAGACTAAGCCAAGTTCATCCTTGCCAGAACTAAGAAGATGGCCGAGTTTGAGTGAGAAGCTTTTTTCCATGAATCTGAATTGGGTTTGCTCCTTGCATTGTCCCTTGTTCTTGGGTCTGGAATAGGTAAATTTCCTTAATATTACACATGTTTTTGCTTGTTGCTTATTATCTTCCTAGGATTGAAGTTGTCCATAGGAAGTTAGAATATAGGTTTAACTTTGACCTTGGGAAACTTGCAAAATACCTTATGCTGTTTTCCCATCTGTAAAATACAAGTAGTGATACATACATAATGCCAGGCTCTTAGGATTGTTGAAATAATATATAGCAGAGCTTATAAACAGTGAGGTGTTTTCCAGGATATTTATTACTACTTTAAATCCCTTTGTGAAATATATGTGTGATGCTAGTTTCTCTGTTAGGGTAAGATTATTAAAAATCAAAAAATTTAACTGTTAGGAGCTATGTAACCTAACGTCTGTAGAATCTAGTGCCACTGAGATCCAAATTAACGCTAAAGTCTTCTATAACAACAGGTTTCACAGAGCAAAACTGTGTTATTCAGTTTTTGAATTCTGACATGTCTGCTGTATAGAAGATGTCAGATTTACACGAACAGATTGCTATTCATGGGGGTGAATAAGAAAATACATGGCAAATTTAGCATGATAACTGGATTACGACTGAAAGCTTTTGCCTTACTGATGGGTCAAAAATCATAGTCAAGGAATAGAGAAAAGTGGTTCTAGTAGGGACCATGACCCAAGACAGTAGTATGAGAGATTACAGTAAAAATGAGTTGACTGGTTGAGACATCTAACCCCTAGCACAACTGTCAATTCTGAATAAACTGTTGAAATGCCAATGTAGGCAGATCCACAGAAGTCTAAACTTATGCTAAGCACTTTCAAGAATATTTCCCCTGGAAAGAGAGTCACCAGTTAATATGGTAAAGGCCTTATCTGTCAGTTGGTGACATCTGGTAAATGCAGAAAGCAGAAAACTTAAAGCAGATCTTGTTACTGAAAGATAAATGATGATTACATGAAATATAGCTTTTAGTTCTAAGGGCTTTAGAGTCATTTGAGCCTTTTCAAAAGCAAATGTCTGCATCCCAACCCTAGACATTTTGGTTCCATGTTCCTAGAATAGGACCTGGGGGTTTGTATTTTGAAAAGCTTGCCAGTTAATTGTGATGTGACCCTCCAGAACCACTGCTTTCAGTGAGCTTTGTTTAATCAAAGCAGTCATTCAGTTCCTGGATGTTGGGATAAAGAACTAAATGATGAATTTTTTTTTCTAGGGAATTTTAGGGGAGGGAATGTTGATTTCTATAAAATATCATGTATTTAAGGGACAGTTTCATCTTTCCCACTGCTACACAAGATGTTCGAGTGTTAAAGCAGCCGGAAGTGCTAATGGGACACTAGAACATTGTGAGGAGCACCTCAAAATGTAATTTAATTATATTATATGAACAAGGCATGATTTTACTAGAAGAAAAGACTATTATATGTATGTAGTAGAAAAATCATCATACATGTCATAAATTCCAAATAAACATGATTGGCTATTTTCAGAATTTTTACATTAAAAGTAGTTTACTCATTATTTTCTTGTCTGGTAGCAGGCATTTTTTTTTTTTTTTTTTTTGAGACAGAGTCTCGCTTTGTTGCCCGGGCTAGAGTGAGTGCCATGGCGTCAGCCTAGCTCACAGCAACCTCAAACTCCTGGGCTCAAGCAATCCTACTGTCTCAGCCTCCTGAGTAGCTGGGACCACAGACATGCGCCACCATGCCCGGCTAATTTTTTTATATATATTTTTAGTTGTCCAATTAATTTCTTTCTATTTTTGGTAGAGACGGGGTCTTGCTCTTGCTCAGGCTGGTCTCGAACTCCTGAGCTCAGAACGATCCGCCCACCTTGGCCTCCCAGAGTGCTAGGATTACAGGCGTGAGCCACCGTGCCCGGCCAGGCATTTTAAATTTCAGGAAAATTTGTGGAGGGGGAAAGCTGCTGTTACATTTGAGTAAACTATACTGTTGATTTGTATTTATTCACATCAAGGGGAGGGAAAACCAAACTTCCCTTTGTAGTTGTTACAACAGTTTGTGAGTCCAGTTCATTAAATGACTAGGTGCATAGTTTGGATACTGAGGGGAAATCATTTACATGAAGTAAGGGGTTTTCATCAAAGGTTTTCTGCAATATTCTCAGATAAAGTAGAAGACAGATAAGTAGAGGACCATAAAGAATAGTCCTAGGAAGTAACATCAAAGAGAATGTCAGGGCATCAGAATCTCTGGGATTTGGAGATGGAAGGAGGGGTATGTGTAATTTACATTTACTGTTACAGTATTTTATCTCCCAAAAACTAGGGAAAAAAACATTTTACAATGCAAATTATAGAAAAATAAAGCCTGACAATAATTTTAGCATTTCAGGTGGCTGGGAAAGCAGAATATGGTTATCATTTTTGATGGGTATGATGCACAACATCCCAGGTGGTTCATATCAGAATCTGGCCTAGTAGACCTGAAATCTTTACTAAATGGGTGCTTAGGTTTCTTAGGTTTAGAAAAGGTTGAAAATATTGTTTTAAAGGGATGGTTGTTGATGGGATTTGAAGTATAACCTCATGTTGTGGTACTGTTTGGCTCAGGAACAGGGTAAATTAAAGGTCATTTTACAAGGCTTATTTAATCATGCATAGTTTTAGAATATTGAGTGAGAGAATATGCGATAGTTTGAATAAGCCTAAATTTGTAAAATGGTAGATTTTCTGAAATAGTTACATTGCATTCTGTAGTCTTTAAAAAGAGTGATAATTTTTTTTTCTTTCCAGCTTTCTGAAACAAAGACTCATTTTGAAGATGTTTAATAAATCATTTGGAACACCCTTTGGGGGTGGCACAGGTGGCTTTGGCACAACTTCAACATTTGGGCAGAGTAAGTTTTTTAAAAGAACAAAAGAGGGGAAAACATCTTAATTAACCTGTTCTTATTAAGATCAAATACACTTTGATAGCTTTAGACAGGAATTTTATTCCTACTTAAGTCTTTATAACAAAGACTCTTGAAAAAATGACCAGGATAAGATCTTGTTAAATTTTTTTTTTTTTTTTTTTGGTGGTTAAATTTTTTTAAGAAAATAGAAATAAGTTCTAAGTTTTCATGGTTTTCTGATCATCAGTAGAAGATACTTAAAATATTTGTATTATTTGTTTCTTTTAACAGAAAGTTACTGATTTTCAGACCAGAAAATAATTCTTTTAATGTTGAAATCCAAAATGCAATTATTGAATAACTGCCCTGGGATTTGCTCTTTGAACAAGATGTGATATTCAGGAACAGAAATGTTAAAATGTCAAGGTTCCTAATTCCTACCTGCCCTGCTGAGATCCATGTCCCCTCCCATCTGGTATTATACATGATATTAATTGCCTATAGTAGCCATTATTCACTTTTAAACCTTTCGTTAAAATTTTTTTTTTTTTTGGAGACAGGGTCTCTCTCTGTCACCCTGGGTAGAGTGCAGTGGCATCATCCTAGTTCACTGCATCCTAGCACCGATTTCCCATCATAGAACTGTAGAATTAGAATCTCTGGGGTTGGAACCTGAACATAAGCTTTTTGAAAAAGCTTCCTAGGTCATTCTGATATTCTCCCTTAATGAAAGACCATTCATCTCAGTGACTGGAGTATAACAAAGTCTGGAGATAATTTTAATACTTTAATTTTGGTGATTTTACTTTTATTTGTAGCTCATGGTCACTTGTTACCTTGGCACTCTTTTTTTGTTTTTTAAACTTATCAACATCTATAACTTTTATTGAAAGTTCACACCTTTGATTTCAAGTTTTCATACTTCCCTTGGGGACAAAGAATAAAATGTTTATGGCTTGATTTTTACTCTGTTAAGTAATACTCTGATGGAATTTATTTTATTTTATTTTTATTTTTTGGAAACAGGGTCTCACTCTGTTGCCCAGGCTGGAGTGCAGTGGCAAGATCATAGCTCACTGCAACCTCGAGCTGCTGGGCTCAAATGGTCTTCCTGCCCCACCCTCCCGAGTAGCTGGGACTACAGGCACGTGCCACCACACCTGGCTGATTTTTTAAATTTTTTGTAGAGATAGGGTCTCACTATGTTGCCCAGGCTGATCTCAAACTCCTGGCCTCAAGTGATCCTCCTGCCTTGGCTTTCCAGAGTGCTGGGATTACAGGGCTGAGCCACTGCGCCTGGCTTCTGATGGAATTTTGAACAAAACTTTTCAAATTAGACCCGTGGTTCTATTCAAATGCAAAATATTAATATATAAAAGTCTTTTCATTTGGTCACCTGATTAAGATTTTATTCTAAATTCAAATTTACCCTCGGTTGTGCTTTTTCAGATACTGGCTTTGGCACTACTAGTGGAGGGGCATTTGGAACATCTGCATTTGGTTCTAGCAATAATACTGGAGGCCTGTTTGGAAATTCACAGACCAAACCAGGTAAGGGCTTTATTTGGAATACAGCTGGTTTATTCGTAGCTGGCAGGGACTTTACTAAGTGGCTCTGATTTATTTAACTTTTTTTCTCCTGCTCTGTCTCCTCAGGAGGATTATTTGGTACCAATTCGTTTAGCCAGCCAGCTACCTCCACAAGCACTGGCTTTGGGTTTGGTACATCAACAGGAACATCAAATAGCTTGTTTGGAACTGCAAGCACAGGGACCAGTCTTTTCTCATCCCAAAATAATGCTTTTGCACAGAATAAACCAACTGGCTTTGGGAGTAAGTAGGACATCACTAGACTTCTGCATCAAATAATTCAGTTTGCTTATTGAGTTGTTTTGTCTTTTCTTCTATTGCCTATATTCACCCACCTCCTTTTCCTACCAAATGGCAAAACCATGGGAAGAGGAAAATTTCAAAATGTATTGAAAAGTTTAATTAGTCTAGAAAGGAGGAGGATATGTACCTCTTTCTAAGGGTGGAAAACTCAGAAGCACTAGTATTTAAAAGATACGTAGAGGAAGAGTTGCCTGATACAGAATGGCTAGAGATAGGATGAAAAGCCAGGTAAGTAGTGGTTTTTTTTTTTTTTTTTTTGAGACAGAGTCTCATTCTGTTGCCCGGGCTAGAGTGAGTGCCGTGGTGTCAGCCTAGCTCACAGCAACCTCACACTCCTGGGCTCAAGCAATCCTACTGCCTCAGCCTCCCGAGTAGCTGGGACTACAGACATGCGCCACCATGCCTGGCTAATTTTTTCTATATATTTTTAGTTGTCCGATTAATTTCTTTCTCTTTTTAGTAGAGACGGGGTCTCGCTCTTGCTCAGGCTGGAGTAGTGGTTTTTTTGTTTGGTTGGTTTTTTTTTTGAGACAGGACCTTGCTCTGTCACCTGGGCTAGAGTGCAGTGGCATCATCATAGCTCACTGTAACCTTTAACTCTTGGGGTCAAATGATCCTCCTACCTCAGCCTCCCACACACCTGGGACTACAGGCACACACCACCATTAGCCCAGCTAATTGTTCTATTTTTTTGTAGAGATGGGATCTCACTTATGTTGCTCAGTCTGGTCTTGAACGCCAGGCCTCAAGGCAATCCTCTTGCCTCAGCCTCCCAGAGTGCTAAGATTACCGGTGTGAGCCACTGCACCCAGCCCCAGAGTAGTGTTTTTGATATTAAGACAGGAGAATTTCAAGGAAGAATATGTTATAGGCAATAGTATTGTACTCCAGAGGAGCCTTCGCTTCTTCTTGCTTCTGTTTTACATTTGGTATGAAGAGTCTAGGGCAGGAATGACAAATATTGGACACGACATGATCACTTCTCCATTACTTGTCTAGGGCAGATGTTTTTAATTGATGGCTTCTTCTCCTTAAGTCCAGATGTGACCTGAGGCTCCTTTTCTACACAGTAGCGTATTTTGAGGCAACCACTGGTAGTTGATCAGTAGTGCCTTATGAGGTGATGCCATTTCTGGCACAAGAGTATGGCAGAATCAGTACTTAGCCAGCTATCACTATTTTCCAGAGAGAGAGAGAGTTGTTTGTGGGATGTTGAAATATTTAACTATGACAATATAAAATGTAATCTAAATTGCTAATTCAAAAGAGAGATGCCTGCTTATTTTAACTTATGTATTAGGACGTTTTTAAAAAGAAATAATAGCAATTTGCCAGTGAGAAATCACAATTCTTTTAACTTGGTAATTAGGATGTCACTTAATATTAAATATTGGCAGATAAATTTTTATTGCTTACTGACGTTTCTATCATGATACATGATACGTATAACTTTAGAAGTAGCATCTCATATTTTGAGAAATAATATTCCTTAGACACAGTTAAATTCACTTACTTGTATGTAATATTTAAAACTTAGCTTTTTGGAAAAGTAAGGAAATCAGAAGAACTGTTATTTATTAGTTTCTGTAAAATTACTGACAATGCTTACTAATTTTTCTAAGTGATTTTTTGGGTGAAATTTTACATTAACCTATGTTTGATTTCCCTAATAGGACTATTTGTATATTCTAAACTTTTTTGTTATGTGTGGATAAATTAATAATTTATGTAAATAAAACATACTGTGCCCTTGTTGAAGTTTCTTGTAGCAAGATGTTTTCAGAAAGACAAGTTCATTCAGCATCTACTCTTACTAAGAAAAGGAGGAATGAGATGAAATTTATGATGAAACAAAGCAGTATTTCTTTTTAACTTGCCTCCTTAATACACCCAAGAAGGGCTTCATGGAGGCTTAGCTGACTAACAGATTCAGAATTTGTTTCACTGGAAAGTCGTCAGCCTGGAAGTTTGTGTGTGTATGTATAAAATATCTGTTATGTGTGTCTGTATAAAATAATATTTGGTCAGGAGATTTGAACGATAAAATGCTTGAGATGAGACAATCTATTGCTCTAGTGGCACAGCCAGTTCCAAGATATAAATTCTTAATTTTTTTATAATTATTATTTTTTTAAATTATTTAGATTCCAGGAGATAATGCATCAGATTCTTAAATTTTTTTAAATTACTATCTCATTTTTCTCATTTTTAGATTTTGGAACTAGTACTAGCAGTGGAGGACTCTTTGGAACTACAAATACCACCTCTAATCCTTTTGGCAGCACATCTGGCTCCCTCTTTGGGCCAAGTAGTTTTACAGCTGCTCCTACTGGGACTACTATTAAATTTAATGTATGTATTTTCTTCCAGTCTTTGTGGAGTATGTTTCATTCCCATTTGTATATTTCTTTGCAGGATGAATTGTGAAATTGCTTGTCTTTCCAGCCTAGTTCGACTCTTCCTGAAAGATATGTTAAAAACAAAATCTGTAAATAGTTGTATAGTAGACAGGAAAAGTTGTGAAACAAATCTAGATTATGAGATATATATGAATTATGGTCACCCCAATCAAATGTGATTATGATAAGCTAGTATAAGGTAGAATTTGAATTTACTGTGTTAATGTGGCTTCTGAATGGTCAACTATTCTTTATAGAAATAAAGAGTAAGGGACAATCTATAGAAAAATTATTGGCCTCTTTAAGGAGGAGATATGTGGAATAACTCATCCATATTGTGTAGCAGTTGAAAAATAAAACTTTTATTGATGAAATGGCACAATGGGGCAATAGAATGTTGTACTTTCTTTTTTTTGTTCGGGGTTGGGTAGAGGGTTCGAGTAGAGGATTTCGTTTACAAAAATATGTGGAATACCACCTAATATATGGAATACCACCTATTATAAATGGTTGAGGGATGCTTAGGATAGGAATGGAGGTACAATTAGCCTAATGGAAATCTCTTGCAGAAATAAAACTTCCTGTTAAAACTTACTCCGGAAAATGAAGAATTTCTCAGATAAGGTGGTTAATTTATAATACTTAATTTAGAGTCCTGAATTTAAAGTTAAATATAAATGATAGTGAAAAATACTGTGTGATGCCCCTTGGAAAGTACATTAGTTGAGAAAACAGACAGTCGAAGTAGGACTCTTGCGTTACTTGTGCCTTTTTCTTCATAAGGCTGCGGGGAATAAAACAGGCTTCTGTATTTCTTAAATGCAACAACAGTTATAAAGTAGACACTTCAGGGCAGAATAGGAAGTATACTTAGATACAGAGGTTTAAATGTGTATGTTGGGTAAATTGGGTAAGCTTTCCTTTTGCATATAATGTTACATGTATTTTAGCATACAATTGTATGATTGGGTTATGGGATTAATCCCTGGGTCTGTGATTACTTTGTTACTAAGATTGATTTATTCAGATAACCTTGATGTAGGGAGAGATCAGAAATATATTTAATCAAGCACCCCTTAAACCATCACATTATAAAAGACCTAAGAGACTAGTTTTAGTTAGAGTTCAATGGTTGAGGAATTGTGTTTGTGAGAGTAGGATATAAAGCTTAGATTTAACAAATTTGCCTTTATCCTTTGCAGCCTCCAACTGGTACAGATACTATGGTGAAAGCTGGAGTTAGCACTAACATCAGTACCAAACACCAATGTATTACTGCTATGAAAGAATATGAAAGCAAGTCACTAGAGGTCAGTAAAATACAATGTAGAATATCAGCCTAACTTTTTGATTCTTTTGGAAGCAGCTTTTTAAAACGATTTTGATTATTTTTATAATCAAGTAATTCATCTTAGGTTTATGTAAAAAATTAACAATGACAAAATTGTTATTAAAAAGTATGTATTGTTTTTAGATACCAATTTTTTTTTTAGGCAGGGATAATAATTCAGGTGTTTGCACAGGTATAGCTTCTCTAATGATCTGTTCTCCTTGAATGTTGCTTGTACTACACTTGGCAATGTGTGAGTGTTTACCCACACGAATGTGTTTTGAATAAACTTACGAAAAGTGTACACCTTAATAAGTTGTTACTAAGTGAAAGGACCCAAATCACATAACAACATTACCAGCATCGCAGATATCCCTCTTGTGTCCTGCCTTCCCCCAAGTTACAGTCTTCCCCTTTCAAAGGTAACCACTATCTTTACTGCCCAGCTTTTGCCAATTTTTGAACTTGATAGAGATTGAATCTTACGTTATATACTCTTTTATGTCTGCCTTTTAACATAGAAATATGCATCCATGTTTGTTCATGGATTACAGTTTGTTCATTCTCCTTACTCTCTAATAGATTGTAGTACATTTTGACTGTCCTTCTTGATTGTAGTGGTTGCTTCTTCCTACATCTCAGACTGTGCTTGCTTTATTGGAGTGTGCAGAAACACCCTGACTTGAGATAATATTGTTAAATTTTATTACTTCTTTCCCTAAATTTTCTGAACCCCATGGAATCTTTCATCTTTTAATCAACAAATTTTTACACTTAGATGGGGGTAGAGAAGATTACTATATAGCATTTTACTAAAAGAAAGTATTTATTGTTTGTAAAAGAAAATTAGAATTAAGACATAGTCAGCTCTTTGGCCTGTACTTTTATGATAATTATGGCATAGATTTTATTTAATAATATCTATTAGAAATGTTTTTCTGTAATGATATTAAGTTAATGCCATTCTGTAGTTTTCTCTTTTTTAGTCTTGGTTCCTAAGTCAACGTAGAACTTGAATACTAAGTTCAAGTATTTAGTCTTCTAAGTAATTATTTTTGGCTGCATGTTAAGATTGAAAATGTGTTTTTCCTACATTCAGGAACTTCGTTTAGAGGATTATCAGGCTAACCGGAAAGGCCCTCAGAACCAGGTGGGATCAGGTAGCACGGCTGGCTTGTTTGGGTCTTCTCCAGCCACTTCCAGTGCGACAGGACTCTTCAGCTCCTCTACCACTAATTCAGGCTTTGCATATGGTCAGAACAAAACTGCCTTTGGAACTAGTAAGCACTTGATATTGTATTGGATTATGTTGAGGAGAGACAGAGAACTAAAAGTAAAACATGATTGTAAAACATGGAATAAGTGCTGTGACGAAAAATAAGTCAGGGATACTGGAGAAATAGAGAGTGCCTGGTATGTATGTGGGGGTGGGAAGAAATATAGTGTAAAATGAAGATGATTAAAGAGGGCTTCACTTGAGAAGGTGGTATTTGAGCAGTGACCTTTCCAAAGAAGGTGAAAGGAACAAGTTGTACAGATTTCTAGGGGAGGAGCATTCCAGTTAGTGGAAATTCTAAGTCTGAAAACCCTGAGTTTTTAATTTATTTTATAGAGATGGGATCTCACTTTTGCTCAGGCTGGTGTCGAACTCCTGAGCTCAAGTGATCCTCCCCCCTCAGCCTCCCAGAGTGCTAGGATTATAGGCGTGAGCCACCACACCCGGCCTGAAAACCCTGAGCTTTTACAAAAAAGGAGAGGGCAAGGGAAAGAACTGAGGGACATGGGGACCATACTTTATAGCACTTTGTGGGCCGATATTAAGACTTGAATTTTTATTTTATTTGGGAAGCCCTGAGAATTGTTTTGAAAGAGAAGTCATGTGGTTATGAGTGAAGGATCTTTCTGAAGGCTGCTATATTGAGAGTAGATTGTAAAGGGGCCAGCAGGGAAACAGAAAGCTATTGCTCCATCCATGTGAGAGGTGATGGTGGCTTGGAAAAGGATGGGGGGGAAAAAGGTCAGATTCAGGATCCAGTTTGATTATAGAACTGGTGTGATTTGCTGAACAATTGATTTAATGTAGGTTGTGCAAAAGGAGTTAAGAATGATGACTAAATTACTTTATGAAAATGCTTTTGCAAAAGTAATGTACACGTATGATACAAAGTTCCCAAAATACAGAAAAAGTTGTATACTTTCCTTATATCCCTCCCATAGCCACCAGTTTACCTTCTAGAGACAAACAAAAGTTAGTTTTTTCATAGCCTTCTAGAGAGATAGACAGACACACAAACACGTATTTATCTAAGTGACATTTAACATTCTTTTCAGTCTTTGTATTCTGTGATTTAGTATAGCACATATTTATTATTGATACTATTACATGATACTATGTATCATGCCCTGTGCTGGATATATTGATGTAAAGAAAAAGCCTCAAGAATAATTTAGACTAACAAGGTTAAAATATACACATGCAGACTTTGAGTGTATTATCTTGTAGAAGAAAGCCTGTAGCCTCTCAAAGGAAGATCAAGCCAAGCATGGTGGCTGGCACCTGTAATCCTAGGACTCTGGGGGGCCGAGGCGGGACGATCGCTTGAGCTCAGGAGTTCAAGACCAGCCTGAGCAAGAGTGAGAGCCTGTCTCTATTAAAAATAGAAAAATTATCCTGGTGTGATGGTGTATGCCTCTAATCCCAGCTACTCGGGAGGCTGAGGCAGGAGAATCACTTGAGCCCAGCAGTTGGAGGTTGCTGTGAGCTAGGCTGACCCCATAGCACTGTAGCCCAGGTGACAGAGGGAGACTCCATGTCAAAAAACAAAAACAAAGGAAGATCATTTAACCTCGCCAGGCTTCTGTGAATCATGGTGTTATTGTAGAAATTAAAGTTTTAGCCAAATCTGGAGTTAGGGGAAGGATGGAAAATGAGATGGTTATTGAGTAGTGAATGAATCTAGGGTAATTTAGATATGTAGATAACATAAGATTATTGAAGTAACTGGATAATGTGAGGTTTTGGTTTTTTGTTTTTAGATTTTTTTTTTTGATTTTTTTTCTTTCCTTTTTTCTTTTTTGAAAGGTACAACTGGATTTGGAACCAATCCAGGTGGTCTCTTTGGACAACAGAATCAGCAGACTACCAGCCTCTTCAGCAAACCATTTGGCCAGGCCACAACCACCCAGAATACTGGTTTTTCCTTTGGTAATACCAACACCCTAGGACAGCCAAGTACCAACACCATGGTAAGGAAACAGACCCATAGTTAATTCCGGGTTTTTTTGTGTGGTGTTTTTTTATTTATTTATTTTTGGGGGGTTGTTTTATTTATTTATTTATTTTGAGACAGTTTCATTCTGTTGCCTGCGCTAGAGTGCCATGGCATCAGCCTAGCTCACAGCAACGTCAGACTCCTGGGCTCAAGCAATCCTCCTCCCTCAGCTTCCTCAGGAGCTAGGACTACAGGCACATGCCACCGTGCCTGGCTAATTTTTTCTATTTTCAGTATAGACGGGGTCTCACTCAGGCTGGTCTCAAACTCCTGACCTTAAGTGATCGTCCCACCTCGGCCTCCTGGAGTGCTAGGATTACAGGCGTGAGCCACCACACCTGGTCTCCAGGTTTTATTTGTAGAGCTAAGTAGTGATGCTTCTAATCATGTCAAACTGGCAAGTTCAGCCTTTACTGCAATTCTTAAGTCTTGAGGGTGGCCAGGTTTGGTGGGTCATGCCTGTAATTCCAGCACTTTGGGAGGCTGAGGTGAGAGGCATGCTTGAGGCCAGAAGCTTAAGACCAGCCTGGGCAACATAGTAAGACCCTGAGTCTACAAAAAATAAGAAAAATTAGCCAGGTGTGGTGGTATAGTCCCAGCTAGTCAGGAGACTGAGGTGGGAGTATCACTTGAGCCCAGGAATTTAAGGCTTCTGTGAGTTATGATTGTACCACTGCACTCCAGCCTGGGCAACACAGTGAGACCTTGTCTATAAAAAAAGTTTTTTTTAAGGAAAAAGAACATGATAAATTATTTTCAACAAGGGTACCAAAACAATTCAGTGGGGAAAGAATAGTCTTTTCAGCATGTGGTACTGGAACAACTGATTATTTATAATACATGCAAAAGAAAGGGCTTGCTTCATACCATTGAGTTCTCAACTCCAAAATGGATTTAACTCAGAATGGATCAGATACCTAAATGCAACAACTAAAATTGTAAAACTCTTGGAATAAAACAAATTAGGCAGTAGTATCTTAGGTATAACATCAAAAGCAATAAAAGAAAAAATAGATAAGTTGGGCTTCATCAAAATTAATAACTTTTAGCCAGGCACAGTGGTACTACTTGGGAGGCTGAGACAGGAGGATTGCTGGAAGCTAGGAGTTCAAGGCTGTAGTGCAATATGATCATGTTTTAGAATAGCTACTGTACTCCAGCCTGGGCAAGATAATGAGCTTCTATCTCTTAAATTAAAATTAAAAACTTTTTGTGCATTAAAGGAATATGATCAATAAAGTGAAGAAAACCCTGCAGACTGGGCTCAGTTGCTCATGCCTATAATCCTAGCACTCTGGGAGGCCGCAATGGGAGGATTTCTTGAGCTCAGGAGTTTGAGACCAGCCTAAGCAAGAGTCTCCGTCTCCACTGAAAATAGAAAAATTAGCCGGGTTTTGTGGTGTGTAGTAGTCCCAGCTACTTTGGCGGCTGAGGCAGGAGGTTTGCTTGAGGCCAGGAGTTGGAGGTTGCAGTGAGCTACCATGACACCACTGCAATCTACCCAGGGCGACAGAGCAAGACTCTGTCTCAAACAATAAAAAAAAAGAAAACCTGCAAATATAGGAGAAAACAATAGCTTATCATGCATGTGATATAGGACTTCTATCCACAGTATATAAAGAGCTCTTATAATTCAATTGTAAGAAGACAATAACATATTAAAAAGAGGACAGGGATTTGAATAGACATTTCTCCAAAGAAATTATACAAATGGCATGAAAGGATGGTCAACCAACATCATTAGTCATCAGGGAAATAGAAATCAAAATCACAAAGAAATACCACTTCATACCCACTTGGAAGGATATAATGAGAAAGACAGATAGTAATAAGTATTGACGAGGACCTGGAGAAATTGGAACTCTCATACGTTGCTGGTAGGAATGTAAAATGGTGCAGCCACGTTTGAAAACAGTTTGGTGGTTCCTGAAAGTGTTAAGCATAGAGTTACAATATGATCCATCAATTGCACATAATTGGCATTTACCGAAGAGAAATGAAATCACAAACTTGTATACAAATGATCATAATAGCATTATTCATAATGGCTAAAAAGTGGAAACTGCGGGGAATGTGGCCAGTGTTCCCTGCAAAAAACCGGGTCCCTTTGGTAGAGTTGCAAGGGATAAGAAAATAATAGAGAAAAATGGAAAATGGAAGAAATAAAAGAATACACTGAGACAAAGATATAGTTTTATAAGTTTATAAAGATTATAGGCAAAGCGGGAGCTCAGGGGGCTTAGACCTCTCCGTTGGCCTCAAAAGCCCCGAATGAGGTCTTACATGGTAACTTACAGGAAATAGTGAACAATTGTCAGGGGTAACAGATTTACATAACAGCAGGTAGTTCCTCTCAGGTTAACAGATTTTCAAAAGGCTTTTACAGAAGGCTTCTACAGATTCTTTAACTAATTCTATTTACGTGGGCAAATGGTTACAAAGTCTTTCAAAGGTTAATTTCTAAATTCTAAGGTAAGTTTATCATTTAAACAGAGGGGTTAAACAGACATATGCAAGCTCCATGTTTATTAGGTTATTGTGAATGGAGACAGGTAGTCTAGAGTAGTTTAAACAAAAGCTTTGCTTTTAGCCATTCTGGAAGCTGTCGTTTCCGGGAAGCTGTTTATTCCGGAGGGCACTCCATTGTCAGCTCTCAGCCTATAGTTTTTAACAGATTCACTTGTGCTTTACAAAGCAAATCCAATTCTTTAGGTCTGAGAAACGCGGCGCCTCGTGGGATACAGCCGCTACTGCCTTTCAGAGACGCCCTTCCGAGTGTAACAGCATTCGAAATGCAAACCAACACGTTCACATATTCTTTCAGGGCAAAGCTCTATAAAACTCTTAAGACAAATCCTGTCCCAAAACACGTTTAATATTAATTCATAGAGCGACAGGAAACAACCCAGTGTCTATTAACAATGAATGGATAACCGATTGGGGTATATCCATGAAATGGAATATTATGCAGCCATAAAATAGATTGAAGTACTGATGTATGCTACAACATGGATGAACCTTGAAAACATGCTGAGTGAAAGAAGCCAGTCATAAAAGAGCACATTTTTTATGACAGTATTCATATAAAATGTTAAGAATAAACAAATCTATAGAAACAAAAAGTAGATTAGTGGTTGCCTAGGGATGAGGAGTGATTGCTAATGGGTCCACGATTTCTTTGTGGGGTGACAAAAATGTTCTAAATTCAGATAGTGGGGATGGTTGCCCAACTTAACATAAAAAAACTACTGAATAGTCCACTATAAATGAATGAATTTTATAATGTGTGAATTATGTCTCAATAAAATTGTTTAAAAAACAGTACAGCTAATTCTCATTCAGTTCAGCAATAGTCCATTAGCACAGTGTTTTTCTGTTATTTACTAATGCATAAATAAAATACATTATTAAATATTGAATGATACAGACTTTCCTCATTGGAAATGAATGTAGTTTCTTGTTTATAATTAAAGCTTTTTAACATTAATTACAGATGTACCTCTATTCACGTTGATTTGATTATTTTCAGTTGATTATCAGTTATTTGATTCAAAGTCCACTTCCCAGCTGAGTATTGATTGATTCTGTGAAAATGAAGCACCCAGTCACACCATTTTGCTTTCATTTTGTAATGCTGACATCTGTTAGAGCACAGGAGTTAATGTCATGTTTTATTAGATGCATATGACCTTGGAGGTCATCATCCTGGGAAAAACAGGGGCTTATATATATATAGGTTGGAATTCTGGTCCTGCCCCTTAGGAGTTGTGGCATCTTGAGCAAGTTTTTAAATGTTCCAAGGTTTATATTCTTTTGGAAAATGGGGATACTTCCTGCTTTTCAGGATTGTTGTAAGGAAAAGAAATGCTCTATGTAAAGTATGTAGCATAGTATCTGTCATGTAAGCTTTTAAAAATGGTAACTATTTTTTATTAATCTGAGACTCTTTAGGAAAACTGACCATTATAGAATATCTTTTAATTTGTATTAACTTTTGCAGGGTTTATTTGGAGTGACCCAAGCTTCACAGCCTGGAGGTCTTTTTGGGACAGCTACAAACACCAGCACTGGGACAGCATTTGGAACAGGAACAGGTCTCTTTGGGCAGACCAATACTGGATTTGGTGCTGTTGGTTCGGTAGGTTTTTACAGTTGACTTTAATTTAAAGACATGTATAAATTTGTTAAAGAAATTTCTAAGAATGATTTGACCATATTCCAAGTGGGTGGTGAGCATATTGTATAGTTTGATACTGAGAGCAACTTAAAAGCTATTTGATGCAAAATGAAATTTCTAGTTCACTTCAGCAGGTTTATTTTCAGTTAGTAAATTCTCTTCTTTTTAAAATTTCATTCATTGCCTTAGTGCTTGTGTGCATTTGCTTAGTTTAGATTGTTAAGTCTAAATTGAGATGCTTTCAGTTTGTTTAAATCAGGTCATTTTTAACTCATAATTCTAACCTCTGTTTTGGGTGACAAATGGGTGTGACATTTGAGAATTAAACATTTTGGGTGTTGATCTACTTCCTGAAATTGGTGGGGTTATTATGATATTATAAAAAGTGTTGAATTTTCTATTGTGGGTAGTTAAAATATATGGTTCTATTTTTATGGAAATTGGAATCTCTTTTTTCTTAACTTTGGGAAATAGTTGAGGTGGGAAATTGAGAAAATTACATAATGCTTCAGAAAATTCTTATACTTTTTATTAACAAATTTATTGATGTATAATCCACATTCCATACAGTTCATCTCATTGAAGTGTACAATGCAGTGGTTTTGAGTATATTCAGAAAATGTTCAACTATCACCATATTCAATTTTAGAACATATTCATCCTGCCAAAAATAAACCCCATATTCATTGGCAGTCGCTTCCCATTTCCCTCCCAGTCACCTTAGGTCTACTTTCCATCCCTACAGATTTGACTATTCTGGACATTTCATATAAATGAAATCATAATATGTGGTCTTTTGTGACTGGTATTTTTCACTTGGCATAATATTTTCAAGGTTCATCCATGTTGTAGCATGTTGAAATTTTTTATTGTAACTATTTCTACTGGCAAATTAAATATATGATGCCTTTCTTTTAATAGGTAAAAAGATACTTAATGGCCTTGTTGTTTTTTTCTTTGCCTCATTAAAATTCTGTGTTTGCAGAGGGGTTACTATTAACTTTTCAGGCTAGGAGCATTCTGTGTTTATAAAGTTATTCTTGGTCACATTATTTTCTGATAGCCTTTATTCACCTTCCTTCTACCTTTTTTATAAAAGTTGTGACATCTTTCTTCCATCCCATACCCAATTCATTTTACCTGAGGTAACCTTTATTTACTGTTTGGTATGTATCTTTATATTATTTAAAATTTTCCTATATTCTGTTCTTTTTAGACCCTGTTTGGCAATAACAAGCTTACTACATTTGGAAGCAGTACAACCAGTGCACCTTCATTTGGTACAACCAGTGGCGGGCTCTTTGGTAACAAACCAACCCTGACTTTAGGAACCAATACAAACACTTCCAATTTTGGTACATATAAAAAGCAGGTTTGGCTCTCTTAAAGTTACACTGGCTATACCACACATTATTCTCCTGATTCATATGATTGGAAATATTTTAAATTCTCAGGTAAGCCGCGGCTTGATGTGAGGTACCAGAGGGAAAGGATTGAGTCATGGACATGGCTTAAGATATTTAGTAGACGTGTAAATTGCCTTTCATTTTCTTTGGATTACCTCATGGATAGCTGAGAAGCCATAAACGAAACACATTTGGTTGAGGTACCCCACATTCTATTAGGCCAGGTTTCAAACATGGAAGTGCTGTACAGGAGAGATTTGGTAATTCTTATTTTTTTTTTTTTTTTTTTTTTTTGAGACAGAGTCTCACTCTGTTGCCCGGGCTAGAGTGAGTGCCGTGGCGTCAGCCTAGCTCACAGCAACCTCAAACTCCTGGGCTCAAGCAATCCTACTGCCTCAGCCTCCCGAGTAGCTGGGACTACAGGCATGCGCCACCATGCCCGGTTAATTTTTTCTATATATATTTTTAGCTGTCCAATTAATTTCTTTCTATTTTTGGTAGAGACAGGGTCTCGCTCTTGCTCAGGCTGTTCTCAAACTCCTGAGCTTAAACAATCTGCCCACCTCGGCCTCCCAGAGTGCTAGGATTACAGGCGTGAGCCACCGCACCCGGCCCTGGTAATTCTTATTGAATGTTGAAACTTTTTTTATTTGGGGGATTATGTAGTAGTTTTTTGGCAGTTTTGAAAATTTTATTTTTGAGCGCATGTTCATTGTATAAAATTTGGAAACTATAGGATAGATTAAACAATTTAAAAAAAATCCCTAAACTACTCTTCAGAAATATTTTGGAAAAATTTAAACCAGTTTAATGGAAACTTGGTATTATTTTCAACATCTTTTATAAATACCTGTTTAAATTTTGAAACATTCAGCATTATTTTTGTTAAATCACAAATGGAAAGTTTATTTTATTGTGAAAGAAAATAGTGGTTTTAATAATTTGTTGAGGATTTCGCGTGCCATATACATCACTAGGCGCCGATTGATTCTTTTTGGGAGATGAGTGCGAAGACATAGTTATTTGGCCATAGGTCAGCAGTTAAGACAATTTTTCAATGGGTTTTTGAATGATGTTGTACTGGAGAAAGAAACTATATTAAGCATCCATTGGAAAGTTGGTATGTTTGTACAAAACCGTGAACTACATGAAGAAGGTAGGTCGGTCATTGATGGGCACGAATTCTTAAATTTATGTATTCTATTGGATTTATTATAACCACTTTTAGTCATGTTGCGCACTCACTCCTTGTAATGATCACAGCTCCACCTATAATTCTTTTTGGTTATACTCTGTTTGAATGAACAGCTTTGAGGTAGTGGACTTGGTTTGCATGGATAAGATATCTGGTTTGTGTACTCATTTCTTATGTATAAAATTAAGATGGGAAAGATACTTATGAGTTAAATAAGTGTTTCTCAATCTTTTTTTTTTATCATCAGTCACCCTTCCCCGAGGACCCTTTATAGACTATTGTAATCATCCTATCTCCCCCTGAGATTTTCATGTAACACTTATACTTTATGTTTTGTGGTCCTTTGGAGGGCCATTAACCATTGTAATCTATGATTTTTTTTGGTTCCTGAAGAACCAATTTTTGTTCCCTTTGAAAATACATGTGTTTAATAAAAGATTTTTTTGTAGCACACTTAATATTCAGAATTAAATGTTATTTCTATCTGACAGGATGTTTGTATGAGCTATATTTGATAAAATAGGCTATACTTTTAATGTATTTGATGTTATTTTATGGTTGTAGATTTCTGACTTGTTCTGAGGTTTTTTGGTTTTATGAATATATTTATACTCATGTTCATTGATCTGAAAATGAAAGGTCTCATCTTTATCTGACTTGCCTCACTAGCTTGCGTGCTGAATTTGAATTGTCTTTAATTTTTTAATTTGTAAAATTGTTTTGAAATAACAGAGTTGATAAACTTGTCTATGAGAATTGGAGGAAATGTGTGGTAAAAACAGTGTACATTGGGACTTATTTCCCTCCTGTGGGTTTGAGGTAGTTCACCAGTATCTTGTTTTCTGCTGTTTATGGTGCCGTAAGATCCATTCTGGTTAAATTTTCATTCAAAAGGGAAAAGAATATCTCCAAGTACATTTTCTATTTTTTTCATCAAAGAAAGTTGATTGTGCTTGAGTAAGTAGTACTCCATTTTTGTGACATTGCTATTAATTAGCACAATTCAAGAAAAGACTTAATGAATGTATGAGTCAAATGTATTGAAATTAAGTCAATTTCAATGACTTGCTTGGATTTTAAAATGACCTATAATACACTTGTTTTCAAGATATTTATATTCTTCAACTTTTTTCTTGACCTTTTTCATTGAGATAATAATCCAAATACTAGCATGAACAAAGTATATTCTTAGTGATACTGTCTTGTGTTCCAAAGTACTCTGTTTTCTTTTAGACTTGTTCTCCTCCATGGTACTTTTTAAAATGACTTCAGATGTTTTACAAAGTTTTCTGCCCAGTGATTGGTTTTGTTCCACCTCTGTTATGAGAGATTAATAATACGTTCATTAGTTGTTTTGTTGATATTTAGTTGCAATAGGAATAATGAAGCTTTGTGGATATATCTGAACAAAAGAAAAGTAATAGCAATGCAATTTAGGTATCTTTGTTTGGTACCTGTGGATTTTAACAGGAATTATAGAATTTTCTCTAAATACAGATCATAGTGAAGGAGGATGATTTGCTCAACTCTCCATTATTTCTGATAATGGAAGAAATTGTTTAAATCAAGTTATTCATAGATTATCTTCTGTCTTTAATATCAGCTATCTGAGTTGTTGAGTGCTCCTATTAGTTGACTATGACATTAAAGCTCCTCATTTGTGATGAGTCATACGTTACTATCCATGGCCAGGTCCATGTGTTCAAAACATAAACCGTTATAGAGATTTTTATAGATAATTTTTCATAACAACTTTTAGGTTCAGTAAAATGTCTTTATTTGTTGATTGTCTTATTTTTTAGTGAAAGTTTGACGGAATGAGTTTTTCTTTCTGTAAGGTTACATGAAACATGCATTGTACACTTTGGGCCTTACAAAGGCAGTGTTCCCAACAACGCTCAAGCACATTCACTTTGCTTTAACATTCAATATTATCCTATATTAAATCAATAAATTCAAGGTAGAAACGTATTTAAATAAATGTGAAGATTTGTTTGTAGTCATCAATTCAATTTTTAAAAAAGTTAAATTAGCCTATAATTTATGATACCTAAATATTAAGTGGAAGGATGCAAAGCTTAGGATTAGACTGTTTTGTGTTAAACTCCCTTATAGAGGAAATTGGGAATAATATTAAGAGTACAATTCACTCGATCTTTTGTCTTCCTAGGTTTTGGCACAAATACCAGTGGGAATAGTATTTTTGGAAGTAAACCAGCACCTGGGACTCTGGGACCTGGGCTTGGTGCAGGATTTGGAACAGGTAAGGAACTGCTACCATGAGATCTAGGAAGTGACAAAATTTGGCTTTCTAATTGCTGCAACTTAAGATCTCTATTTGATCATGGGCCTGGAATTAAGAGGCCTAGATTTGCATTTTTACAATTGGATTCATAAAATGTTCCCGGCTGTTATGCTTTACCGGGTTTTAAAACATTGGCACATTTATCTTAGAAGCCATATGCTCCCTTTTGTACAAAATGTCCTGTGATAGTCCTGGTTTTTCTGTGATTTTCAGTATTTAATGTGAGAATTATTAATATGAAGACATCATTAACTTTCAGTTCCCCTGTGTTACCTTTCTAACAGGGATTTGCAACCTTCAACTATTTATGAAGTAAGCTCTAATAGTGAGGCAGAACAATAAGAGCACATGCTGATGTGCATACTTTTCAATTAAATTAGTTCCATTGTCATATAGACCTGGGATCAATTATTTTTCCAGTGCTTTTGAGGACATTTATTGACTCCCACCCCTCCTTGTGGTGTGGGAAGGGCCTCGCTCTATTGCTCAGGTTAGAGTGCAGTGGCTCGATCATAGCTCATTGTAACTTTGAACTTCTGGGCTCAAGCGATCCTCCTGCCTCAACCACCTGAGAAGCTGTGACTACAGGCACGTGCCACCACACCTGGCTAATTTCTTACTTTTTTTGTAGAGCTAGGATCTCACTATGTTGCTCAGGCTGGTCTCTAACTCCTGGCCTCAAGCAGTACTCCCACCATGCTAGGATTATGGGTGTGACCCACTGCGTCTGGCCAAGGATATTAACCCTTCTACCTGCCTAGCTGTTTTAAACAATCGAAGGGTGGCGATGATCATAAAATGGATAAGTAGTTAGACAAGGTCTTTAAGCATACAGTTTTGCCTACTTTCCTAATTCATCTGACCATGGATGTGGTCATTTAGTTGCAAACCATTTATTTCCATGGTCTCTGCTTCCACTGTCCAGTTACCCATTGTTTCTGTCATCTGAGCATTCATCCATTATCTCCATAATAGAACCTCATTTTGTATTCCAAACTTATTTTTAAAATAAAAGATACAAGTGCTGGTAAAAAGTTTCAACAATTTAGAAATATTATGAAAAATTCAGTCTTGACCAGGCTCAATGGCTCATGCCTGTAATCCCAACACTTTGGGAGGCCAAGGCAGGAGGATCACTTGAGACCAGGAGCTCAAGATCAGCCTGGGCAACATAGTGAGACCCTGTCTCTTTAAAAAAAAAAAAATTCATTCTTTCAGCTGTGAAGGAACAATTGTTGACAGTTTGGCGTGTATCATGTTAGACCTTTTCTATGCATTTTTCAAACATGTTTGCACATACACATTTGTATTTATGTGTCTTTTTATATTTAGGTTATAGGATTATGTTTTAAAATGCACATACACATTTGTATTTATGTCTCTTTTTATATTTAAGTCGTAGGATTATGTTTTAAAATGGAAGTCATAACCTATGTGCGTGATTTTTAAACCAAAGGCTGAGATGCATTAGTTGGTTGTAATATTAATGTAATGGGCTGCAATCAGCATTTTAAGAAAGTGAACTATAATTAGAAATCATTGTGCATAGTAGGATTAACATCCTTTTATGAAACTTTGTTACAGTTACGTGTGTTACCTGTTTGGGGTCTCTTTTTTTCTTGTGCGCTACAGTCAAAATTTGAAAGCAATTGCCTTACATGGTATTCTGTGACTTGTATTTTCACTTCACATGATATTAGCATATTTTTTCTTTTAATGATCTAGCTCATTAAAAAAAAAACTAGTATTCCATTGTGTGTTTATACACATATGCATAATTTATACTTACCATACATACACCATAATTTATTTAACTTTTCCCTTATCGATGGACATTTGAATTACTTGATATTTTTAGCAAAGCCCTCAGAGAAGATCTTTGTTACATAATTTTGCATTTATTAGTGTTATTAACTCAAATTGGAATTGCCATGTCAGGAAATACACATATTTTGAATTTTGGTTGATCTTGCTAATTAGCCTTCAAAAAAAATTAACAGTTTGTATTATTGCTTACATTGTATAAAAGTGTCCATTTAAGGCTGGGTGTTGGTGGCTCACACCTGTAATCCTAGCACTCTGGGAGGCCGAGGTGGGAGGATTGCTTGAACTTGAGCTCAGGAGTTCAAGACCAGCCTGAGCAAGAGCAAGACCCCGTCTCTACTAAAAAAAATAGAAAGAAATTATCTGGACA